TTTAATTCTTTTTTTGCGGGGTGGGGGCTAGGGGGTTTTAAACCACTATAGTTCACAGTTTTACTTCTTTTGCTCTTCTATTTGTCACCTTCAAACAATATTTAAAATTCAATTCCCCAGCATAGTGCCACGACCGTGTTTATAGTGCTTCTTATAAAAATGATGAGCCCTTAAATTTTTTTGTCCTTAAATTTTAAAATCAGATAAGTATTCATGTATTTATCAACAAGAGGGTCTAAGGCTCCAAATCGTGATCCCAAGGTTGACTTGGGGTTGGGGGAGGGGGGTTGGGCGCAGAGCAGACTTCTGAACTTTCCTTCCCCTCGAGACCCCTCTCTTTGGGGTTTTTCACGTTTATGCTGAACCAAAGCTGTGCCATTATTTTCCCTATGAGACACACATGCTTCTTTGTGGAAGAATCTCATGTTGTGGAAAGAGACAAAGTAAACCTGTATGTATACAAGTCCCCAGAGGAAAATAGGTTCAGTCGATCATCATCAGTAACACGCACTGCCACCGAGTTCTTTCCGATTCACAGCAACACTGTAGGAGGTTTCAGAGACTGTACAGTTTTATGGGAACAGACTGCCTCTTCTTTCTCCCGCGGAGCAGCTGGTGGCTCTGAACTGCAGTCTTTGTGTTTAGTGCCCAATGGGGTTCCTAGCCTATCCTACGGAGCCTGAGCTTAGTTAGGTGCGGAGCCCTGGCAGTCTAGAATTCAGCACACAGGATTGGACAGCGACATGCGCGCGGCTATTGCCTACGCCTCCCTTCCCCTGAGGACCGCCGCCCTTCTGCTGCTGGTCAAAAAGAAGCTGCCTCTCTTCCGACCCTGTCTTCCTTTTTGCGTTATATTGATCGTGGGAGGAGGGCGGAGGGGTGGGGGGCGTGTGTCGGCTCATAATCTTGACTGCTTGCGTCCAGCTGGCGGGAACGCGTTGGACTCAACGCAGAAATAAAATTGCAGAGATATCGAAAGAGAGGGACGGTTTAATGTGGTTTTTGTTATGTTTTTCTCTTTTGTTTCAGCTCCCTACCGCCGGAGGGCGCAATCCATTCTAGAGAGAGCAGGGAGAGGACTGGGAAGAAAGCATTGCGAGAGGTCCCAGCAAGAAACCATGGGATGCTCTTCACGAGGAGTGAAAGTCACAAGACTTGGAGGAGAATGAGACAATGGAGTTCAGTAGTAATAATTCTTCACTGGGAAAATATGATTTAGATGGATCATTTATTCACTCATAAGACTTCATAACAACAGTCAAAAATGGCAATGTGAATAAGCCATGTGGTGCTGTGAAATATTTGTACAATAATGAGCAAATTTCCCATGGCATGTTGTAGGCTCCCTAGTCAGCTCTGTAAACCCACATATGTGAATATTGATGACTTGGTGCACTGTCTTCTTATGCCTTCAGACCTTTGCCTGTGTTACAGCTTCAAGTTCTCCAGGCAATTTCATTTTCACAGCAGACAGGTGCAAACTGTGTGGTAACCAGGCAAGAAGAAGCATGGCAAATACTTACTGGTGGTAAGGTCCTTGTAGCAAGAGTGTGCTTGCCCTTTCATAGTATTGTTCTAGAAAACCATTTTGAGTGTTGGCAATAAGGCTAGTTTCTCATCAATGAGCTGTTTCTCTTAAATGGAATACCATACAGGCCTAGAGTAAATATTGGATGATATACTTAGTAGAGAAAAACTAAAGCATCAGTAAAAAAACAATATCTACCCCCCACACACACACACAGTATGTATTAGTTCCTGGCTCTGCTATTGTCTGACTTTTTTCCTATAGACCTTTTCTGTCACAACTTACAGGATGCAGAAGAAGTGAATATTTGCCATTGATAGGCAATGAAAAATAGATCTAGGATCCATTTTAACTTTTTCATGTCAAGGGCTAGTGCCATCTTGTTGTGTGGATCATAGTATTAACTACAGTGCTCATCAGAGTCATGCCTTATATCATGAATTGGAAGAGTCAATTACCATGCTTACATTCATTGTAGTAGCTCCTACTTTATCTGGTTAATTTATATGGAAAAACCGGATATTTCAAAAAGCCACGGGGGACTGAATTACCATTCTGAATTACCAAGTAGGTTCCTGCCTTCCAAGACTGTTCCCAGTTGCCCAGCGACAATTCATTATTTATTAGGTTGTCTTGGAGAGTAGTAAGAGCAAATGGAAGCAGGAAGCAAGAGTATGTTTAGAGGAGATCTAGAGACCATCATCCCTCTCAGAAAATCAATTTTTAAAATTTTTTGTTACTGTAAAAAAAAACCATGTATACTCAAGTGCACAGAACAATGTGGT